TTTTGGGTAAATGAGCTTCTCAGCTTCCTCTTTACATGCAAAGAGTTTCAAATGTTTTCCCTTCACTAGTTTTCCAGGAAAACTTTGAAATTTGTGAGACAGTATTTTCAACTAATTCAGTTTTTGTGAGTTGATTTCCAAGATTCTTCATGTTGTTATTTTCCACTGAAAAAATTTGAAATTTTGGGAAAATAAACTTCTCACATGCAAAAAGTTTCAAAATTTACCCTTTACTAGCTTTCCAGGAAAACTTTAAAATGTGTGAAACTGTATTTTTAATTAATTCAGTTATTGAAGGTTGATTTCCAAGATTCTTCATGTTGTTATTTTCCACTGGAAGAATTTGAAATTTTAGGAAAATGAGCCTCTGACCTTCCTCTTCACATGTAAAAAGTTTCAAAATTTTCCAGGAAAACTTTGAATTGTGTGAGACTGTATTAACAATTATTTCAGATTTTGTAAGTTGATTTCCAAGATTTTTCTTATTGTTATTATTTGAAATTTTGGGAAAATGAGCTTCTTCCCTTCCTCTTTACATGCAAAAAGTTTCAAAATTTTCCCTTCACTAGTTTTCCAGGAAAACTTTGAATTGTGTGAGACAGTATTTTCAATTAATTCAGTTATTGTAGGTTGATTTCCAAGATTCTTCATGTTGTTATTTTTCACTGGAAAAATTTGAAATTTTGGGAAAATGAGCTTCTCAGCTTCCTCTTTACATGCAAAAAGTTTCAAATGTTTTCCCTTCACTAGTTTTCCAGGAAAACTTTGAAATGTGTGAAACTGTATTTTCGATTAGTTCAGTTTTTGTAAGTTGATTTCCAAGATTCTTCATGTTGGGAAAAAATTGAAATTTTGGGAAATTGAGCCTCTGACCTTCCTCTTCACATGTAAAAAGTTTGAAAATTTTCCCTTCATTAGTTTTCCAGGAAAACTTTGAATTGTGTGAGACTGTATTAACAATTATTTCAGTTATTGTAGGTTGATTTCCAAGATTTTTCATGTTGTTATTTTCCACTGGAAAAATGTGAAATTTTGGGAAAATGAGCCTCTGACCTTCCTCTTCACATGTAAAAAGTTTCAAAATTTTCCTTCACTTAGTTTTTCAGGAAAACTTTGAATTATGTGAGACTGTATTAACAATTATTTCAGTTTTTGTGAGTTGATTTCCACGATTTTTTTTATTGTTATTATTTGAAATTTTGGGAAAATGAGCTTTTCCCCTTCCTCTTTACATGAATTGTGTGAGACAGCATTTTTAATTAATTCAGTTATCTTAGATTGATTTCCAAGATTTTTCATGTTGTTATTTTCCACTGGAAAAATTTGAAATTTTGGGAAAATGAGCTTTTCAGCTTCCCCTTTACATGTAAAAAGTTTCAAATTTTTTTCCTTCACTAGTTTTCCAGGAAAACTTTGAAATGTGTGAAACTGTATTTTCAATTAATTCAGTTATTATTGTAGGTTGATTTCCAAGATTTTTCTTGTTATTATACTTTGAAATTTTGGGAAAATGAGCTTCCCCCTTTCTCTTTACATGCAAAAAGTTTCAAAATTTTCCCTTCACTAGTTTTCCAGGAAAACTTTGAATTGTGTGAGACTGTATTACCAATTAATTCAGTTATTGTAGGTTGATTTCCAATATTTTTCTTGTTGTTATTATTTGAAATTTTGGGAAAATGAGCTTCTCCCCTTTCTCTTTACATGCGAAAAATTTCAAAATTTTCCCTTCACTAGTTTTCCAGGAAAACTTTGAAATGTGTGAGACAGTATTTTTAATTAATTCAGTTATTGTAGGTTGATTTTCAAGATTCTTAATGCTGTTATTTTTCACTGGAAAAATTTGAAATTTTGGGTAAATGAGCTTCTCAGCTTCCTCTTTACATGCAAAGAGTTTCAAATGTTTTCCCTTCACTAGTTTTCCAGGAAAACTTTGAAATTTGTGAGACAGTATTTTCAACTAATTCAGTTTTTGTGAGTTGATTTCCAAGATTCTTCATGTTGTTATTTTCCACTGAAAAAATTTGAAATTTTGGGAAAATAAACTTCTCACCCTCCTGTTCACATGCAAAAAGTTTCAAAATTTACCCTTTACTAGCTTTCCAGGAAAACTTTTTATTCTTCACATGCAAAAAGTTTCGAATTTTTGCCTTCACTAGTTTTCCAGGAAAACTTTGAATTGTGTGAGACTGTATCAACAATTATTTCAGTTATTGTAGGTTGATTTCCAAGATTCTTCATGTTGTTATTTTCCACTGGAAAAATTTGAAATTTTGGGAAAATGAGCTTCTTACCTTCCTCTTTACATGCAAAAATTTTCAAAATTTTCCCTTCACTAGTATTCCAGGGAAACTTTGAAATGTGTGAAACTGTAATTTTGATTAGTTCAGTTCTTGTAAGTTGATTTCCAAGATTCTTCATGTTGGGAAAAAATTGTAATTACAGAAAAATGAGCCTCTAACCTTCCTCTTATATACAAAAAATTTCAAATTTTTCCTTTCACTAGTTTTCCAAGAAAGCTTTGAAATGTGTGAGACTGTATTTTCAATTAATTCAGTTTTTGTAAGTTGATTTCCAAGATTCCTCATGTTGTTATTTTCTACTGGAAAAATTCAAATTGAATTGAATTAGGTATTGGATAATTGAAAAACATAATCAAAGTGAACATTTATTAGTTAGTTCTGACGTTTCAGAAGATGAATAAACTTTAAAAGCGCATTGATTATGATTTCAGAAGACGTGAAAAATTTCCTCAAAAATGACCCTGAAAGTGCAAAAGAACTTCAAGCTACTTAATTAAAAATAACAGAGTTTCAGATTTTCCAGTATGTCTTGCTTAGGTTGTGTGTATTTTGTGTCTTACCTACATTTATGTTTTTATTTGATTTTGAAAATTGTTATTTGACTTGTATGATTAAACTGAGAATAATGTTTGACGACACTATAGTATGGCAAGATTATGTAATAACTATTGTACATCTAGTAGAACTATTGTACATATTTTGCAGCTAATAAAGATCTATCTATCTATCTATCCACATCCTTCTTTTCTTGCCCTTCAACTGTTTCCCAGTTTTGATCCATTAGATTGCTTTTAAAAGATGTTTTCTCCCTGTGACAAAATTTTCTTTGAAATTTTACTTGTGGTTTTGTTATTTTTATAGAATCTTAAAGGCATTTGCTATTAACTTGAATTAAAGTGTCACCCGAGGTGTCACCTGTGATTCTTGTGAAAAGTTGAGTGTTACTTTTATCCAAAAATATTGCAACAATAAGTTCATTTTCTTCCTGATCCTGCTCCATTTTTCTAATACAAACTGAATTGTAACATTTTGTAGAATAACCTAAAACCCTAAACCTTAGATTTGAATCTTAAGAAACGCAAGGTTAAGCATATCGTTTTTCAAATGTCATAGTATACCTATGTATATGTATTGCTTGGATAGGAACTAGAGAGAGTAACTTTTAATTAATCAGGATCTTATTTCCAATCTCCATATTAAAAAAATGTTTGCAATAGAAAAAAACTTGGCTTTGTAGTCCACACTTTGAAAGACTTTAACAATATTTATGCATTTAAAACGTCCCGTCTGGTCCTCAAACTACCAGGTTTATATAAATATGCTGGAAAAACTTCAAAGATAGTTTCTAAGACATACATATAAGAGGCTTTAGTCGAGGCTATAGTTTAGGAATTAAAAATATTAATTTTGATGAATGATCTGTATTTTTACACCTTGTGCTACCTACATTAGAAACCCGCAGGAGAAATCTTGGTATATGCTTCTTGTATAAAATTGTAAATAATTTAATTGATTGTTCTCCTCTGTTAGATAATATAAATATTCATGTGGCTACAAGAAATGATGAACTGTTCAATATATTACTTATATCCTCGTTTATATCACAAGACAAATTATGGCTATTTTAGTCCTTTATTCAGAATTTGCAAGGATGCCAAGAGAGGTCTTTAATTTATCTCTGGCTGGGTTGAAAAACAGAATACGACAGGGAATTTACTCAGTTATTTTAGATACCCATAAGATTTTATTATTTAATTATTAATGTATTTTTTATTTAAAATTTCATTGTTGTTTAATGATACTGGCTGGTTCTTTGATAAAGAATTTGAAATTTCTAATATTTCCATTCCCAAGGAAACATCGAGAAGGGAAACGTGTTTCTATTTATAAAATAAAAACCATATCATATTTCCAGACTCGTGTGAGTTTTATTATTCCTTCTTTATTGGCACTTGATTTTTAACTTTTATTGAGTTATTCAGCTAGATGCAAGGCTAGATTTGATGTGACTACATATTTATTTTTGAGCATATTTTATAGGCTTTTGAGTCCAAAAATATATTTGTTGTTCTTTTAGAATGATTACATCAATTTTCAAATCAGCTATTATTTCTTAGTATTATCATACCTTATTACTCGTCTTATTATTATAATTATTATAATTATTATAAATACCTCACTAAAGAGCCACCAACATCAACAGCAATAATTTATTTTTGAAAACAAAGACACACATGAACAAAGCATAGAAGTTTTTATTGGAATAAGGCATGTTTTAACATCCTACCACAAAGAATATAGCCAAAACAATTAAACATTGTCATTGTCAAAAGGATAGTTTTTAGTATTTTCGTTTTAGAGGGATGAACCAACCCTGTACCTAGTATATAAGTCAATCATACCCAATTGAATTATTTATATCTACTTCAAATAATACTACAAAATTGATGTCTACAAAAAATATGGGTAGGTATTGCAAAACGGAAACTTGCAAATCAATCCACTTCAGATTTATTTCAATCAAGATTCCAATGTCCGTGTTTTTGCAATATAAAAATAAAAATATATAGATATTTTATTAAAAAAATTACAACATACAGGATACAGGATATTTCTAACTACTACTGGCCTAATAACTTTATTATGGTTATTTGTGTTCTATGTTTGTCCTAGAAAAATTACTACAAAGAAAAATCTTACCTTAGGTTTGTACAACCATTTCCGAATAGACTCCATTTAGGTTTGGAGTTGATTTTTTTCAAGACTTATCAGCTTAAACCTTTCAGCATTATTTTAAATCTTGTAATTTTTAGTCCAGATTGAAAGTGTTTGTCAAAAAAACAGAAGAAGAAACCATAGCAATCACCCCCGCTCTTCTTGACCTATTATACAGCTTCTTAATAAATATCTTTAAGACGTAGAATGCGTATGTTGGGAGCGTTTATAACCGTGAACTTCTCTGTGGCGTAAAATTTTCTTTGAAGTACTAAAAACTATTTAAAAAATGATAAAAAAAAACATATTATTTATTTCATAAGCACATACAAGGCAAAACTTGATAAAATTCACCAACACAACCACAACACCACAGGCATTTTGGCTTTTGACAGACGACATTTATTCTTATACACCGAGGTTTGATTTTTACAGTTTCATTTTCGAACAATTCCCTTGTTGGGTCACTGTTTCATAGATGGCGCCACCTGGATCATTCCACTAGCAGTGACTCTAAAATGAGCTAAAATTTTCAGGGATTGTAGCCCGCCACTGGAATAAGAATCGCTGAAAATTTCAGCTTCTTATCTCTCATAGAAAAAAAGTTATGACCTTTCAAAGTTTTCCAAAATCTAAATTATAAGGTACCGTCAGCGTAAAGCCAAACCCCTGTGTAGTACAGAGCGCGTTATCCAGAAGATGCTCTATATCACTCGGGGCTTTGTTTTTGATTACGCCGGGTCGCGTCGAACAAACCAATACACCTTTTCACGTCGCTCCGGTTTAAACTAACCAGGTTACAAAACGGTTAGAGGCGGTATGTCAAGTGATGACATTATTGAAAATGCCACTTGAAAACGAATGGTTAGAAAAATGTTATTTTAAATTCGATATGAGGTTGGGTTGGTCAGTGCCGTTAATTCTGACCCCTGACCTACCTATTATGTCTACTATGGACAAAACTATCTTAAATGTGAGCAATTTACAATTAATTAAATGTGAAGAAATATGGGAAGCAAGTTTTTTTTTCAAAATTGTGGAATTATCGAGTATTTCATGCTTTTTTATTACAGCAAGCTGAAAAGTGAAAAGTAGGTAGTTTAATTTCTTTTCGTTCAATGCTTTAGATGTGGACCAGACCAGACAAAGACCTACTAGAACCAGTTTATCTAAAGTTTATAAGTTCTCGCTACCTACAGTCTAGAACAGCCCATCAAGTAGGTGAACTGGGATTGTCTCGTCTCTGGTACATATTTTGAGTATAATACAGGGTGATTTACGTAGTCCGTGCATCAGCAGGTAGATTAGGGCCGGTTTCCCGATAGCAAAGAAGGCACCCCCTGGTTAAGCATAACTCCAGGGTAAACATAGCAACTGCAACTGCACACGCTTACCCTGGAGTTAAAAATAAAACCAACCCAGAGCTGACCCGCTATTATGTGCCCGCTAGGGAGAAACCGGCCCTAGGTGGTATTTATTTATGCTAATCCACCTGCAAACTAAACAATTTCTAATGCACGGGCCTCGTAAATCAGGCTATATACAAAGAAAAACGGCTTTCGGGCTTCAAATTCATAAAATATAATATACGAAACACAACTTTTTATTTACTTTTTACACTTTTCGGAACTTTCCCGCTCTCCGTTGTTTATATTTTTTTCTTCTAACCGCTCGACGTAACCATCCTTGCGTTCGGTATTTTGCTCAAAGAGCAGAGCGTGCTGAGCGGAGCCGTAATCACGTGACCAGTGAGCGAACAGAGCAGTTGAACGCTGTTTAAAAGTGCCAGAAATTTTAATAAACGAACGCGAATGAGGCTGCACCGAGTACACTTTTTAAATAAACGAACGGTAAAGTCAAGCTCGGAGAACTCGGACCAAAATAACGAACGCACGGCATATCGCCGAGGCGGTTAGAGAAATGACATACCGTTTTCTAACCCGGTTACAAAGTGACATCTTCGATGCCACTCGAATTTGAGCGGTATGTTGCGGTTTGTTAAACCGGAGCCACGTGAAAAGGATTAATGTGTAGTACAGAGCGCGTGATCCAGAAGATGCTCTGTATCACTCGGGGCTTTGTTTATGATTTTGGCAAGACAAATCCCAGTGTGATACGGAGCAGGAATGCATAAGTTGCACCTTTTACGCAGAAAAGGAGTTGCTATATGTATAGTCGCATTTTTCGATGAGCGCATATTTGACTGAAATTTTGAAAATAATACGGCAAATAGAAGTTTTTTATAAATGTATTGTCGTGGTTCACGGCTTAAAATAGGACATGAAATAGAGATAACAGAAAATGATCTCAATACTCTCATCGAAAAATCCGACTATAAATGTCTAACAATTGTTCACATTTTGCTGATCAAGATGGGTATTTTTAACACGTAAAGTGCCATGGTGGGTTCAACTAACCCACCACTAACATTCGCTATTGGGGGATAACATATACCCATTGGGAAAGAGAAGAAAATTTATTTGGCTATGTGGTGCATCGCAGCTAACCACCGCCCGCATGTATTTCTTATGGGAGTGTGTTTGTAAATGTTTTAGCAACATTTTCCTAGACTTGACCTATTGACTGGTGGATGTATGTGACCCACCAAGGCCAATATATACAAAATAAAAACTGCAAATATACTGTGTTTGTGGCCCCAGGGTTAAAGCAAAAGTCGCACGTAATATACTAATAGTAATAACTCTATTTTTATTGAAAAAGAAATAGGTACAGAATATTCTGATTTAATACAATTTTGCGTTTGGAAGCTTATTTCACACGTTTAAAGAAATGGAATTTCTAATAAATATCTAACAATAATTGCTTACATCTCCTAAGATTTTACACTGCACTAAAATAGTGAATTGTTTTTCATTGTCTATAGTTATTTCGCGAATATTGACGTCCTCACACGAACGTTCTAATATAAATATCTTAACATTGCTTCATCCATTGTGAATTATTATTTATAAAATCAGATATCAGCAGAAAAGAGAAATTTTAACCTCTTCAAACTGTTATTAGTCAATAATACGAGTGATTCTATTCAATGTCAATAGTCAAGAAATTAGAGGTAGCTCTGTATCGCACTGGAATTTGTTTGACGCGATCCAGAATAATCAAAAACAAAGCCTCGAGTGATACAGAGCATCTTCTGGACCGCGCGTTCTGAGCCGCTTTCCAGTATGCACATTGGCGCGCTCTAGAGCACCTCGGGGGCGCCACGCACTAGATTTGTACCGTTCCAGTATCATGACGTGAGACGCCTGTCTTAGTGTCAAATATGTCAAATTTTAAAAATAATTATCTGTTTGTTTGTGCAGTTTGTTTTTTTATTTATCATAAATGAAAAAGAATCAAAACTATATTTTTTTAAATGTTCAATCTTGAGATATAACAATAAATAAATAAATAAATAATAGCCACCCACGGATGTGACAGCTGACAGGTTGACGCGTACGTACAGCTCGGGAGCTCAACGCCCCGAGTAGCTCCGGGCGTCACACTCCCATACTGGAAAGCGGCTCTGTACTACACAGGGGTTTGTTCGACGCGACCCAGCCTAATCGAAAACAAAGCCCCGAGTAATACAGAGCATCTTCTGGACCGCGCGCTCTGTAACATAGGCGCCGGAATTTCAAAATTACTATGCGGGCTCGGGTTCCATAAATTAATATAAGTAGAATCAAATAGACAAACAGGACTAGGCTACTAGACACATAGACTTAATGGGACCAGTTGGAAGATACCTATTTCACTCCAGGATTGCTACGCTGGATCATTAATCCCAGTGGCGTAGCCAGCCTTGCGGGGCGGGAGGGGCAAAGATATGAGGGGGCGCATAATTTTTTTGGAGGAGGGGGGGGGGGGGGTAACAAATGAATGTTTGTATGCTTTTGTACTATTTGCTTATTGGGGGAAAATATTGAAGACGAAAAGCCCGCCGGAGGCGAAAAATTTCCCCGGGTGCCACGCCCAAAAAAGTTTATTTTAAGTCTTCAAAAACTATTTTTTTTTGGGGTGCCACTCCGAAAAACATTTATGTATTAAAAGAAGTTATGTGTGGACATAACGTTAACTTAAAAAAATCTTGCCGGACATGTCCGGACGCCTTGAAAATTAGAACAAATTCGTGGAAATTCGGAGGGATGACAGCTTCTAGTTTGATAAACAAATAAATACATTGAAATTCATATAAAAAAAAATCAATTTTGTTTTTCAGAAATTATTAGTGAAGTGGCAGAAAAAATTGGTGGTACCTATACGGTACTCGGTACTTTTATTTTAGGGAGTGACTACTGCACTGTCCAGACAGTGCCGACTGAAAACCATCTGCACTGTCCAGATAATTTAATTATCATATCATATACCTAAAGTTATAGTTATATTCCTCGGGATCCACTGTATTAAGTTCGGACAATGAGTGTTTTTTGAATGGTACAGGGTGTTTGTTCATGTTCATAACTGGAACCAGCGGCGCCGACTTTTGAAAGTCCTCATGGGTGCAGGATAATAATAAATAACTTTATAAATTTGTTTATAGGGGAAGGGGGTGGGCGAAAATTTTTTTCCGGATGCCACGCCCAAAAACGTCTATTTTATAGTGTTTCCGATTGCTAAATTCGGGCAGCACTAGAGCAACCCTCGTTCAATTTTTGTATACGATTTTATCCCCCCCGTATGCCTGGATAGGTAGTATAAATTTTAAACAAACATTTTTCTATTTTGATGTCATATCGAAGTTTTTTCGACACTAAAAGTAGTTTCGAAATAGTACATTAAAATACAAGTTTCATAAGACGTCATTTTATCGCACGAGCCCTATATTAAAAAACGAGCCGGAGGCGAGTTTTCTAAAGGGCGAGTGCGATATAATGTCTTATGAAACGAATATTTTATACTATTTTTTCTATTTTAGTATTGTTTAATTAAAAAAAACAAATTTTTCTTGGAAATTTTATTCTCATATTTCCTGATTCAATATGTTTAGGTTGGTAACACTACATGCCAAATATAGAAATCTTCTATTTTAAAATCGCGAATGACAGTTCGATGGCCATCAGTCAGCCAGTGTTACCAACCTCCGATAAGTAAAAAAAGATTGTCACAAAGAGCTTTTTTTCGAAACTACTTTTAGTGTCGAAAAGATTTCGATATGACACCATAATAGAAAAAGAAGCTTTTTGTCACACTCCTTTTTACTTATCGGAAGTTGGTAACACTGGCTGACTGATGGCCATCGAACTGTCATTCGCGCTTTTATATGAGGTCTGTTTCTGCAGAAATCACTAACCAGTCAGAGCGAATTTCATTGGTTGAAAACAGTCAGAAAACTAGTTTCAACCAATGAAATTCACCCCGACTGGTTTGTGATTTTTG